TATTAAAAAAAAAGCGCTAGTATATATATTACCTTTATATAAAATAACTAAAAAAAAAATTAATATAAAAAGTAACTTACTAAATAAAATACTGCGCCCTTATATTAAATTTATTTTAAAAAATTATTTAAACCTAGGTAATATTATAGCAAGCAAGGCTTACTTTATATAATTTTAATAAAAAGTTTAACCTTCGCGCCTAAAAAACACGCTAGGTATTTATTAATATTATTATAAATATTCCTGGCTCCCTAAGTTACTTTTATATTTTAATATTATAAAAATTACCCGCGGCACTTTTTTTAGTAAATTATAAAAAAAAAATTATAAAGGTTTATTTAATAACTAAGGTTTTATTAATATTAATAGTTTTTTTAATTATTTAGCTAAAAAACTTGGAGATCTAGCGCCTAAAAAATATAAACTAAATACCTAATTTTTAAACCTTACCTAAAAAAAAATAAATATTTATTTTTATTACCTGCGCAAGTACCAAGGGGCGCTAAATTATAGCTAGCTATAAAATACTTATTATATTATTATTTAATAATTTATGCGCCAGGACTTATTTTATTAAGCCTAGTATATTATATTAAGGCCTAATTATAAATACTAACTAATTTTATATTTATATTATATAAAGTATGCCTAGCAAAAAAATTACACCTACTTTTAATATATAAATATTAATATTAACCAAGTGTTTTAAAATAAATAAAAAGTAAATATTATTTAGAAATTATTATTACTAAATATAAAAAATAATAATAATTGCACCAAGGTCTTGCTAGGTATATATTAAAAAAATAAGGTAAAGGCATAGCTAGCATAAGTAAAGGCGCGAGATAATATTAATAACCTTTTTAATTTAATTAACCATGTGAAAAATAAAAAGTAAATTAAAAATAATATTAAATATTTTTATATAAATTAAAAAAGAACTTTTATTTATAATTTATTATTTAAATTATGTACTTGCTAGTGCCGCATAAATTTATTAAACTAACTATAAAAATAAGATATATAATACTACCCTAGTATATTACCATGTTAACTAACTATTAAATACTTAAAATAATAAAAAAAGGTACCTAAAAAAATTAATTATTATATATTATAACCTTATGCCTGGCCCTACCTTTTTATTTAGTTTTTTAAATTATTACTTAAAAATTTTATAATTATTTATCTTAATTATTTAACTTTAAGGGCTAGGGGCTATTAGCAATACCTTAATAAAATATTATAAATAAAATTTAGCTAAGGTAGTTAATAAAATAAAGCTAGTATATAGCCTAAATATATTTATTAAGCGTAATTTTTTTAAGTTTTAAAAAAAAAGGCTATTTTTATTATTATAAATATATATATATAGTTTTAAAAGCTAAAATAAAAGTATTTTAGTAACTTAGGCTATAATTATTATAAAATAATATTACCTTTTACCCTGGTTCCCGCCCACGTGGCCATGGCTATTAAAAAAATATTAAATAAAGCTAAGTTATTTATTAATTATTATTAATGCTTCTTGCCCTGGTAAAGCTAACAAGCTTTAAATTATATTTATTAAACTACCTAGTTATTACCCGTACATAATATTAACAAAAAAAAAAAAAGGAAAAAGTAAAAAAAAAGCCTAGTAAAAACTAGCTAAGTAAAATATAGCTAGTTATTATACTTTAAAATATTATTTTAAAAAAAAATAAAAAATATAAATAAAAAAAAATCTTACCTATTAGTAAGTTTTAACCCCCCCCTAAAAAAATATAATAGGGTTGCACCTTAATATTAATTTTTATAATACTTATAGCCTTATTACCTGCCTTTTATACCTAGTTTATTATTTACCTTAATAAATATATATTTTTTTTATTATTATTCCTACCTATATTATGTACTGTCTAGTCCTAGGTTCCTGCCACTGTTTGGTTCCTTTAGCTCCCATGCTCTAGCACTGCCCCTCCACAGTAAGAACTTATAATAAGAATAACCTAATTTACATAGCTGGTTTAAGATATACTATTCCAGCATATATTAATAAAAAAAAAAGAAACTAGTTAATATACCATTTTTTATTAGTTTTAAAAATAATTTTCCTAAACTTAATAATTAAAATAAGCCTACTCCCAAGCCTAATAATGTAAAAATAAGTAAAAATAAAAAGGTTAAAAATAATAAATTTTATGCTAAAATTAATACTTAAAATAAAGCTATTTTTAACTTACCTAGTAATTTAATATTATATAATAATAAAAACCTTATAATTTTACTTATTTTTATTACTAGCCCAAGCTTAGTAAGTACTATAGCTAATAAAAGCTTTTAAACCTATAATAACTATAAAACTATTTTAATAATACCTAACTAGGTAGTAAAAAGCAAGAAAAATAAGAAAATTTTTAATTTTAAAAATAATAGCGCTAAAGGGCTCCTATAACTAGAAAATAATATAAATAAAAATAATAATAAAAAAAAATGTTAACACCGCTTTCCCCTGTTAAATCTAACCTAAAATTATATAAAACTAATATAAAAAAAAGGGAATAAAATCCTAATCCCAGACTTTTAACTATATAGGTTAAATTAAATAAAAAGGCCTAATATAACCGCCTATACTAAAAGTAAGATTTAAAAAATTTTATAAATAAAAACCGCCTAAAATAAAGGCCTTTTTTTAAAGTTTTTTATATTAAACTTTTTTACTAGCTAGCAAAAAACTTTATTAAATATTATATTTTTTTTACTTAGTAATTTTTAAGCCTCCTAGACTATTATAAGAGGCACTAAGTAAAGTTATTTACTAAAATTAATTTTAAAAAAAACTAAAAAATTAGGCAAAACTTATAAAGTATTTATATAAAAACTAGTTTATAAAAGCTACTAAAGTTAAATTTAGTACTCTTAAAAAACTCCATACCTTTAAAATTATTTTTATACTAAAAGGTAAAATTATTATACTACTTATATAAATATTTAAATATAAATTTAATATTACTAGCTATTTAAATAAATTTAAAGCACGCCTTTATACTAAAAAAAATTTTTAACCTAGTAACTATGCTAATATTATAGTAGTAACTTTTATTACCTAATTATTTTAACTTATAATAGCGCTTGTTGCTTATTTTAACCTTAATATTATTTAATTAAATATAATTAACACCTTTATTTAAAGCTTTATAAATAAAAAAGTATATATTAAAATACTACCCGGCCCCTAGCGCATTAAAGGCAGAGTATTTAAATTAAATTAACCCTTATATAGCCTTAAATAATTACCATGCATTTAATAAAAAAAAATATTTTTAATACTTTTTAAATATAGCTTTAAGCTAGTACTAAAAAAGCCTTACCTTTTTATTATAAAGTATCTTATGGTTATTTTTTTTATTAATAATATACTTATTATAAGCAAGAGATTAGCTAAAGCTAAAAAAAAGGCCGCTAACTTTATTAAATATATAAAATATATATATAAATTATAAAATTTTAGCAAAGCAAAGTGGTTCTTAAATATTAAAATTATTTATAATTATTATAATTAAAAAATTTAATTATTTTAAGATTTTTATATTAATAATTTACAGGCTAAATATAACCTCATGGTATTAAGTAAAATATTAAAAATATTTTTACTTACTAAAAAATTAATACCTGCGCCTTTAAATTATATATTTATAAAGTAAAATATTTTTTTATACTAATAACTTATTAGCTTATTTTTTTATTTTATTATAATAACATGCCTTAACACCTTTAAAGCGGCTAGTAAGCTTGCTTAGCATATAATATACCTTATTAAAACTTATATTAAGGTAGCTAAGTATATTATTTAATATTTTATTATTATAAAGGACCTAGGAATTAAATACTTAGCTAATATTAAAAAAATTATTATTATAATATTTAATACTTTTTTTAGTAATAATCTTAACTAACATAGCTTTAATAAATAGCTTATAAAGTTATTTAAAGGTTTAATTAACTAAAACACTTATAAATAAAAAATAGTTACTATTTTTATTATTAAAGCTAAATTACTTATTATTACTAAAAAAGTAAAAAACCTTATATAATAAAAAAAACTTTTTAATATTATAAAATTTAATTTAAAGGTTAAATTACACCTTTTTTATAATAATACCTAAATTATATAATTACTTAACTTAAATAATCCTATATTTATTATATAACTTTAATATATTAATATTTATTATTACTGGCTTCGCGAGAAGTATTAAAATAAAAAAATTAAAATTAATTAAATAAAAATAAAAAATTAATTAATAAATAGCCTTATTAAACTTTTTAATAACCTATGCTATAAGATATTTATTTACTAACTTAGCCTTATTAAAATTAAAGCTATTTTTAATACCTAGTATTAATACTTTTATTTTTTTAAGTACTAGGGGGTATATTAAATAAAAGGTAAAAATCCCTTGGATTTTTATAGTAAACTTAGTTAAATAACTTTAATTAACCTTTAAAAATAAAAAAAAATTAACCTTTAACTTTGGCTGGATCTCACGGCCTAATTAAAAAATAAAATATAAAAAAAAAAATAAATATAACTTAAATTTTTTTATATCTAGCTATTAAACTCTCACATCCTTATTTATCTTAAATCCTAAGAAATTTTATATTTTATTTACCCCTTAATTCTTATCCCAATCTTACATAACCAATTCCTGCCTGAGGCATCCGTAACTCCGAAACGGCTGTATCGCCAATTACCATTTCCGGCAATCCCGTCGCATTCCGTGGCTTCGGCTTGCCGGGTTCCGACCTCGGGACGGCGCCGTTTGAGAAAAGTGGGCTGTTGACGTAGATCAACGGGGCTTCTGCCTCATGTAAGCCTTGAAACAGTGGGAGTTGATGGGGGCATCCCGAGGTACCGAAACCGATATAAGAACTTACATTTGTCGACCCGCGAAGTCACTGCAATCCAATCCAAGATACCTGCACCCATTCCATCCATACAGAACAACACAACCACAATGCCACACTCAACCATCCCCTCCGACGAAATCTACGGCCCAGGCACCTACATCGACAAGACCTTCCTCCCAGCCCCGCAAGATGCCCGGCGAATCTTCGAGTACATCGCGGACAGAACGCCAGGGTTCACAACGGACGCATCCCTCCGCGACACCGTAACCTTCAGCGGCTCCCCACACCCCGTGATCCCCGGCCCAACAAAAGCGCCCCTGATCGCCGCAGCCCTGCACGCAATGTGCGGCGTCGTCGCCCACGAGATCATCCAGGACCGCGACGGCACACCCGCCTCGTCCCAGACCGTGTCCATAAACACCGACCACGCGGCCATCTGGCTCGGCAGCATCTTCGCGGCGTCCCTGAAACGAAAAGGCGAGGAGGGAAAAGACATGAGCGCCCTCGTGCGCACCCGCGAAATCGCATCGCTCTACCCCACCAACTCAGAGGGTGAGTTCATGGCCACCCCCATGCGCCAGCGCACGACGGCGCTGTATAAAACCGCCACACCAGGCGTCTGGTACCAGCTGCACGGATCGCTGGACGCCCCGCCCGTTCTGAGGGCTTTGGGCTGCGACCCCGAGTACCCGGCCAAATCGTCGGAGGAGGCATACGAGTACATCGCGCGGCGGGTGGAGCAATGGAGCGCGGACGAGCTGGAGATGCTGAATGTCAAGAACGGCTTCTGCGGGAGTATCTGTTTTACGCCGCGGGGGTGGAACGAGACGCTTATGGGGCGGCGGCTTGCGGAGCATCCGCTGGTCGGGTATACGCTGCAGAAGCACGCTGTTCCGACGCCGGCGGTACCTTGGGTACAGGGTGCACGTAAGGATAGACGGCCGCTGGCCGGTATCAAGGTCGTTGAGCTGGTGCGCATTATCGCGGGCCCGGTGATTGGGAGTACGCTTGCGGCGTTTGGGGCGGATGTGATCCGGGTGAATTGTAGTCGGTTGGTGGATCTGAACGTATGCACCCTTTTCTCTACCTACCTAGGTACCTACTCCTGATTCTGATTGTTTACTAACGGGGACAGATCCTCCAACTCACTCTCAACGCCGGCAAACGCACAATCGACCTCGATCTGACCGTTGAATCCGACCGCGCCACGCTCCGCTCCCTGATTTCCGACGCAGACGTCTTCGTCCAGGGCTTCCGGCCCAACGCCATCGCGCGCAAGGGCTTCGGCGTCAACGACCTCCTTGAGATTGCGGGCGCCCGAGGCAAGGGCATCGTCTACGTCGAGGAGAACTGCTACGGTCCTGACGGTCCGTACCACGAACGGCCGGGGTGGCAGCAGATCGGTGACGCTGCGTCTGGATCATCGTATGTCATGGGTCGGAGTCTTGGATTCACGGATGGGACGAGCGTTCTGCCTCCTCTGCCTATTTCAGACATGAGCACTGGTCTTGTTGGGGCCTTGGGCACGTTATTGGCACTCCGTGACCGGGCTAGACATGGTGGGAGTTATCGCGTTACGAGCTCGCTGGTCAAGGCGGATGTTATCGCTCTCGAGCCTGAGATTGGCCTTTACAGCCCCGAGGTGGTGAAGGAGAGCAACGAGATCTTCAAGTGGGGACATATTGGACCCGAGCAGTTCGTTACGGAGATTCTGCTGGTTGTCATGGATGGGTGGAAGAGGGTGTTCCCGCAGTATTTCGCGGGTGGGGAGGAGAGTCTGCTGACTTCGTTTGAGAGCGGAGAGGGACCATGGGTGGATTTGAGCATTCTAAAGCCCGTTGTCAAGCTGGGCGATGAGAAGGTTACGCCCAGGTGGTTGACGCCGTCGGTGCCTAATTGCTTCCATGATAAGGGGATTCACTGGGCTTGAATGAGGGAGGAAGCTTTAGTATATACTGTCAGTTAGTTTCATACATTGTAGATAGGTAGGCTTCGAACCGAGATTCAATGATATCCATTAAGCCACGTCTGAACGCCCCATCCCTCTGGGCTGGTTTCACCATCCAGGAGCGCAAAAAACGTTGGCCAGTCGTTCCAGTCAAACACGTAGTTGTCGACCCAGTCAAGGTTTCCTGAATGCGGAGTGTCCTGCGTGCTCAAATGTGTATCGCCAGCAACCGCAGGGATATTGGCATAATGTCCTGTTCCCTGTGTGTCCCCTGGAATAGGAATCGGTCGGGTAACGTCCGCTCCAAGCCCACGCGCATCAATATTTTCATTGATCAGTTTGAGCACCGAGCTGACTCTGGAAGCCAGGAATGTATGTGACGCATACTCCTTCAGGATACCGTGAGCCATTTGTAAGAGGCCATGCAAACGGTTTGGGGAAAAGTGGTCTAAGATTTGCCGGGACGTTTTGGCGGCGAGTAAGGTAGTGACGGACATGTACACATCTTTGAGGATTCATTCCGGTGAGCCTTCATATAGCCGGGATCGCTGACGTATGGTAGTGAGACTTACATGAAACAATATACCAGTTCGACGGGAGAATATAGGCTTGCTTCTGCTGCGGTAGATTCCTAGCAATAAACTCTATCATGTCCCCGGCTGCCTTGATGCAGCTCAATTGGCAATGGAGAATCAGATGGGGCATCAGCTGGTCGTCCGTGTATAATCCGGCGCTCGGCGGATTATCTGTCCGTTGTTGGTGGTTTTGTAGAAGGAAGGGCCTGAAGAGGAGGAGACGAACGGACAAAAATCTCGAAGGTGTCAGCGATTATCCCATACTCTCATTGGCAGGTACTCACCGAGCGCGTAAGATGTTTGCTTCACGCGTTATATGCTTCGACGGCGTCGGATCTTGCGTGTCTGATGGCATTTGGAACAACGGATGAAGGCTCGCGACCCAGGCGTTCAACTCGGACTCGATCCTGAACAGACTGGCAAGTCTATCAATGAAGGAACAGTTGGATTGAGGCCGCTGGTGTCGCTTGAGATATAGAATGCTTCAAGCACCTCGCCAATGATATAATGCAGCCGACAGAACGACATATAGAAGTTCACCTTCGAGGGCAGTATTTCATTCTCTCCAGCAAGTGTCATGGAATTCAGGCCTTCCTTCGCGAGAGATTGCGGTACCTTGAGCGCACAACCAAAGGTCATCGCGCAGATCCTGTCCATGATAACGCACCCGTTCCAGACTTGGTGTGCTAGGTCTCGCTCGCGCGGATCAAGAATGGCCTTGGTGATCACAGGAAGATGCAGTCCCAGTTCTTGGGCGATATGGATTGCTGTTGCAATACTCCGAAAGCATCTTTCAGGCATCTTCTCATGCTGAAGATACACCGCGGTAAGTAACAGGATTTGGATGGTCTCAAAGTTGTATATATCCATCACCACATACGCCATCAGTTCCTGGGCTCTTTCAAAAAAGACGCCCGAGGACTGGTAGCGTGAGAGAGGAGAGTCGCCTTGAGAAGCAACGCATGAAGTGGCGAACATGAGATTCAGGAGGCAGTGCAATGCCCTCTCGTCCATGCAGAGCTCTCCGTCTGTTGACCATAATGTTTCATATGCGCTTTCGATAGAAAGGCGATCGAGCCACGGGTAAGCGCTGTCAACGAAGTCCCAGTATAGGTTTAACAGATGGTCGGCCACCTTCCTTGGTGGAATCGCAAACTGGACGTCGGATGGCTCTTGCCTTGTTCGTTTCCGCATCCGCGGCAGCTCCTTGAGAGGCTTTGGATAGACCAGATTTGTCTTCGATTTGGCTTTCTGCCCACTCATATCTCCGGCTTCGTCCAAAATGGTTGCTCCGCTGGAGGCGCCGAAGAGGCCCCCACGGGGTAGTCGCTCCGCATCCTCATCTTCACCTTCGGAGACCTGGATTTGCGCCCCCGTACTGTACCGCGACTTATCCGTGCTAATACTAGCCGTTGGGTGCGTTTGAGTAGACTGTAAGCTATTAGGTCTGGCAGTGAATTAGCGTCATCATGGGGCCAGATGAATTCGATCTATTGTGGGCTTCTTTAGTTGAGATACGTACCGCGGGGCACATTCGACAAGCGGGGGGACGCTTCAGCCTCACGGTACCGTAAACGCAAGCTTGGACGCCTGATTTCCTTATCGCGCAAGGGCCGCAAACTGAAGTAGACCAGTATCAACATCATGCTTTCAACTTCGAATTCTTCTCTTCCTTACCCGGCCTAACACCATCACATTTCGTCTTCCTGGCTTTGCAGACGTTACACTGTACAGGCAACGCCGATCTTGGCACGCTTTGGTCTGGGCTGTCGGGATGCTTCCTGCGGGGGCGTCTTCTCGGCGGGGAATGAGAACATCATCGTGGTGTGAGGCGTGAGGTCGGAAAGGAGCAGAATTTCTGCATTGAGTTCCGTTCCGACGGTAAGGGTTGCCGTGGCTCCGACCTCGGAAGACCCTGTTTAACAGTTCAACTTAGTCTTTAGGGCCGTTAGGCCCGTTCTGGACTCGGGATCCCGAACCTGCGTACGGAGACATTCTTCCAGGCCGTGTTTCCGCCGACATGTGAATACCTAGGTACGGTAAAGATGATGCATAATGGAGCTCAGTTGATCATCCGGTTAGATAATGCCGACTGCGAGAGTGATCCCCTACACAGTGTGCAACGTATTTAAAAGCCTGGTTCCTGTCCACGGGTCTACGCTGTACTTCCCAACATATCTATTTGATAATATAACATCACAATCCAAGTCTATCCATCTCGATCCCATTTACATCATGACGCAACCTTCATCCATAACCTCAGGCCACCTCTATTTCCTGGATATCGGCATCTCAACCCCCGAGTTCAACGGGCGCATCCTAACCTGCAAGCCCGATGGCTCCGGTCTCCGCGAGCTGGTAACAAACATCGAAACGATGCCGGATGGAATCGCCGTCGACAAACCCAACGGCCACATATACTGGACGAACATGGGCATCCCATCCGCCGACGACGGGTCCATCCAGCGCTGTGATCTGTCCGGAGCCAACATCGTGACGATTGTACCCAATGGCATCACGCACACACCCAAGCAATTGACCGTCGCACCGCAATCGAAAAAGTTATACTGGTCTGACCGCGAGGGCACGAGAGTCATGCGGGCAAACATGGACGGGAGCGAGGTCGAGGTACTGTACCGGCCTGACACGGCAGACGCCGGAAATCCCTATGAACATTGGTGCGTTGGGATCGCAGTTGACGAGGAGTCCGGGCACATCTACTGGTCGCAGAAAGGCCCGTCCAAGGGCAACAAAGGACGGATATTCCGCATGACTGTTGACCTGCAAGCTGGAGAGACAGTCGAGAACAGAAAGATCGAGTGTCTTCTCGACACTCTTCCGGAACCCATCGACCTGGAGCTGGATACCTCTTCGAGAAAGTTATACTGGACAGACCGTGGAGATCAACCGTATGGAAACTCGGTCAATGTTTTTGATCTTGACACCTTAAAGGAAACACCTGCAGCCCAACGGAAGCCCGATGTCCTTGTCCGCAAACTCCATGAAGGGATTGGGATTGCTCTGGACCCCAAGAACAACCGCATGTTCTTCGGTGATCTGGGAGGCTCGTTGTACAGCGCCAATTTGGATGGCAGCTGCAAGCATGTTATATTCCCTGATATTGGGGGCGCGGTTACGGGTGTTGCTTATGTGGAAGAATAGTCATAGGGATAAGTCAAATTACAATATAGATATATTAATTATAAATGATAGAGAAAAAGTTCAAAACAACCTGAAGGAAAAGAAGATAGTGCACTGGAAGCCCAAAAAACAAAATTCAGTCAAGCAAGCAAACATCAAACCACTCCTCCTCCTCACAATCGGGATCCTCCCTCTTGACAAGACAAACCTTCTCATCCTTCGCAACCCCAACAACCCGCCCAACACCACATAAAAGCGCCCGATCACTCTCCTCTGTGAGCAAAAACCCCCAGCTCTCCTCTCCGATTTCAGGGGGTGTCTCATACACTGTCCTCGCGAACATCCGCAGATCAGGCAGACTCACTTTCTGGAACCCGGCGAGGTCATGCTTATCAATCGGCTCAACAAGAACAAGCGTATCGAAGAAAAGAATCTCCGTGACCTCCCCAAAAGCCGTATACAGGCTTTCGGCGCTGGGTCTCTTGGTGACTAGACCTCCCGCGAACTCGCCGACTTCCGCGCCCCAGCAAGATTTTGGGGGTGGGGTGGGTGGACGATGAGCAGTAGGGCTGTCGGAGCTGCAGGTGGTCTCGGGAGTGTACTGCGCGTCATTGCCTGCGGCATGGGCATGGCTACGGATATCAGGCGTATCACAATTGCCGTCAACCCTAACGATCTGGACGTTTGGTCCTCGCTTCCCAGAGCCGGGGCCTTCAGAACCCGAGGTCATCAAGTTAGTCTTCAGGGCCTCCCATTCACCCATCACGCTCTCCGTCTCGAAGATCTCACCAAGAACGCTGACATCATCCGCATCACCATCCTCATCGAGATCCTCATTCTCATCCCCAAGAAGCCATCGATACTCCACCAAGCCCTCCTGCTCATCCTCATCCGCGTCACCCGCCAAATCCTCCGCGATCTGCGCAGCGGCATTCGCGTTCTCCGCGGCCTGCACTGCTTCAGTTACAGCGGCCTCAATCCCGACCTGGCACGTCGCTAGGATTCTAGCGGCGTCGTCGGGGCCGAGTGTGCCGGTGGTGGTGCTCATGGTTACGTCCATGGCGAGCGCGAGGTATTGCAGGGCGCTGGTGTAGAATGCTGCGGCGTTGGAGGCGGCGAGGGCGGCTGTTGAGCAGGCGGCGGCGGCCTGTTCGTATTTTGCTTTGGCTGTGGCTTGGGTTTGGGCTTGGGCTTTGGGGTAGGGATTGGTGTTCTGGGTGCTGGGCCCTGATGCTTGTGTGGACGTGCTCATGGTAGAGCGGGCTGAGTGGAATGAGTTCGTAGATGACATGTTGGGGATGTTAGTCTGCTTGTAAAGAGGTTAGCTGGTAGGGCTCGGTCTGGATCGTAAGGAATGGGACTATCCTATACTTCCACAACCGAATATGAAAGTGAGCTGGACGATACAATAAGGACAAAAACAGATGGCAATAGTAGGACTTTATAACTACCCTTTGCTCTTTGATCTCGTACACTCCTTGTCAATTGTTGCACAAGGACCTGTTTATCACTTCTCCCTCCCATGTCAAGGCTCTTTGTCCCCTCTTGTGCACGGACAAAGGCATGAAAGAAGCCGGCAGCGGACAGCTGAATCCCGCTTTCAGATGCCTCTGAGCGTCGGGTCTTTCGTTTGGGTGGGCACTATGGAACAGTTAGGAGAAAGAACAGATAGAGGCTTGAGCATGAAAAGTCGCCCTTCCGATGCGAACCAGCATTAAGCATCGTTATATCCTCCCACCGTCTCGTTGATGCGTTCTTCAACAAGATATTCTTCAGATCAGCTACCGTGAATGTCGGAGTCAATTGATAGTCTTGTGGATTTCATTCCTTGTTCTTGAGGTAGGGCTACAGTACCCAGGCACAGCACAGATCAAGCAGAACTAGCTGGAGCCTGGTTTCCGTTTCTATCCGAAGCCATGGATAAGGTCATCTACTTGGCCGCAATACAAGTGCTATGGTAGTCGGAGCTGGGCCCCTTTGGGAAGAATAACCACTCGCTCGTTCGCTCGCACCTGGCGCAACTACGAATATTAGGGTAGCGTCAACAACACAGCCCTGGAGAACAGCAGACCAGGGCAGTCCCGACATCACGATATCGGCGGCGGAACATAAATCCCCGCCTGGAACAACATCCTAAGCCGTCCATCCCCATCCTCCCCACCAGTCCTCGGCCGCGGAATATCCCCTACCCTGCGCCTCACCCAAGCCAAGCAATCACCCCACCCTCGCGCCTCCAGCTCATTCTCCGTCCCAGTCCGAGTACCTACCCCCGGACCCAGTCCTACTCCCAGCCCAGGTAAACCCCCCAAGACCTCCCCCACAAGCACGCGTCCCGAATTCCTCGCCCACCACCGATGCTCCTGGCCGTCCAACTCGCCCAGCAGAATCCCCCAGTACGCAAGCACAAGCATCGCCAAGCGTTCGCGGCGCCGTAAACTCTCAACGAAGCCCACATCCACCGCCGCAAGCCACGCCAGCACGGGCGCCGGATCCGGCGAGCACGCGAACTTCATGAAGCAGTGGCGGAGGTGCGCGATGACGTCGGGGTTCACGCTTCCACGTCCAGCACCACCCCCGTCATTTGGATGCTGGAGTGTGGCGTTTAAATCCGCGAGCTTCTCCAGCGCACCGTCCGTATCGGGGTCAAGTTTCGTGACGCAGTCTTTCCGCCAGAACTCGCCCTTGCTGAAGAGCCCGAGATTAATCCAGGCCTGGCGCTTGCCGAAATAGAAGATTTTTTTTACGCCCTGTAGGAGCTCGAAGACGGTGAGGATGTTGTCTGTGACGCTCATGCTTAGTCCACTGCGCGCCTGGGGCTGTGCTTGGGGCTGCGCCTGCGTATCCCGATTCTCGCGCTGCAGTTCCCGCGCCGCCGTGACCTGCGGCAGGGCGAGACTGATCGCCGTGGTAACGACAGACTGCGCGAGAGCGGCATCGCAGTTTTCAGGCGTTAGATTGCCTATGGCGATTCGGAAGGGTTCGAGGCTGAGACTGTGGTATTCGAGGCCGGCGTCGATGTATGCCAGCGCGGCATCCGGGGGTTCGCGCGTTGTGGCGATCTGGAGGGATGCCAGGGCTAGGATGCCGTGCATGAGGTAGCGGTGTTTCAGAGCGAGCCTGGGAACAAGGACCTGCCAGGTCCGGATCTCGTTCTCGTTGACGCAGAGGCTCTGGTATGTTTCTGCGGTGAACTGGTGCATGAGTTCGAGCTCGTCGACGCTGGGTTTGAGAGGGGGGATTGGCGTTGTTAATGCCGGTAATGATTGATTGCTGCTGGTATAGCTTGTGCTTGATGGTGTACTTGCGCGGCGCCCACCTGCATCCCCCATTAAAGAAGCCGGCAGGACCCGCGAGTAGATGCAGTTGTCCAGCCGGCGGAGGACGCAATTCGTGCAGGGCGGGCCTATCTCATCGCATTTGACGCGACGGCGGCGACAATTATCGCAGCCATACCTTGATTTGGTGTGAGTCTTGCGGGGCCTGAGCATTGTCCGTGCTTGACATTTCTGGAGAGGCCGCAGCGAAAGGGGGGGCTGGTCTTACAGGAAGAAGAGGCGGGCTTACAGGAAGAAGAGGCTGGACCGTTGGAAGGATCTGCAGGCAGCACACAAATGACGTCACTGCATTCAGGCACCGGTTGGGGCCATCGCAACCGAGCGAGTTATTTAAGAGCTTAACAATATTCTGTTAATTCAGGGTAAAGCTGACAACCGTGCGACCTAGGGATGGCTTATTACAACAGGGGTTGATAATCCGTCTTATCCTTCAGGAGGTCTAAGGAAGTCGCTGAACAAACTTCACCTCCACACTTCCATATCCACTGACCTGCTTCCCATCAAATTGTCCTTCGACAGTCACAAATCCGACATAGGTTGTGCCGCCGCTGCCAGGATCCACAAGTTCCTGGTCACCAAGCACGCTGCTGATTGTCAGCAATCCACGGCCTTCAATGCCCAAGTCCCAGCGCTGCGGATAAGAAAGTCCCGTAAGAGGAGATGTCCAGATTGCGCTGGGATCAGAGCTGGGCTCGAATCTGTCGACGGGAATGATTGCAAGGGCGCTCTCGTTGCGATCGCGTTGTCGAACATGGATGCTGCGCGAGAAGAAGGGCGGATTGACGCTATCCAGCAGGTACGACACCAGGGCCAAGTTGAGCTCCTTGTCATCGTGATCACCGTCGCGTTCGGCCTTGTCATCGACGAACAAGTTGAACCAGGTTATGTTGCCCTCTTGAAGACCCATATGGCCCCAGAGGTGGTCGTACCAGGTAAGCGATGCAGACGGGTCAATGATCGCGACGGCAGCGTCTCCGGTAGTCTCATTGGTAGGGGCTGAAGCATTCTCAACAGGGAAAGGAAGGGTGATGTTGCCGGATGTTTGAGCGGCTGGCAGTGCCCATCCATACATGGGCTTGTCGACATACATCCACGCACCAGAACCGCCGTAGTAGAGTGCACGCGAGGTCGGGTGGATTGTCAGATTGACCGAAGCGTTCTCTGCGTCGCCTTGGACAGTCATGCCCAGTCCATTCGTCGAGAGATCTGAGATTTTGTATCGAGGTCCGGCGAAACTGAGACCGATAATGTCGGAGTTGGCAAAGGAGGTGGTTATGCTCGAATGCGAGACGCGGTTCAGAGTCGCAAGGTCGAGGAGAGAGAAGCCATAGCCCGCAAGCTGGTCCTGCGTGGAGACAACCACTCCTGTGGCGAGAAAGTATTGCGATCCGGTGGTGGTAGTCAGGAACGAGGAGGTCCAGTAGCCGGCGACGGGGCTCTCGGGGGTGGGGAGCAGCGTTTGGGGTGCGGGAATGTCGAACAAGACCGGCAGTCGAGGCTTGCCATCTATCAGTTCATGCACAGGACGTGAACCCGTCAATTGTGGGCGATGAGATGCGGCGACTTACGTCTGTTATGACCTGGTCATCGTCTGGTGCGAAGAGATACCCCGAGCACTGAGAGAAGTAGTTGAGGGCGGGAATAGCCCAGAGGGCTACGTTGAGTTTCGAAAACATATTGGATGCACACTAAGATGCAATTAAACCAAGGAGGGTGAAGTTGGAAAACTGGGAAATGTGGAAGATTGCCTAGAGGTAGCCAGCGTGTGGCATAACGGGTGCGCCTTCCTCAACAGCCCAAAGTCAGCGACAGGAAACCACGGGACATTTAGTCATTTCAAGCCGACTGCGGACAAATCGGTCCTTCCTTGTAGACTGGTATGCGAAGTTATACAGATATGCTGTTGAGATGCTGGATTCCCTTGGTGAGTGGGCACCACCAACTACCATAGTCAGAGCACATTGGCGCTCGACAATAATTTGGTGAAAGGACATAAAGCCATCTAACCCACGGTGTGTTAATAATGCAAAGCTTGAACAAATACATAACTAATAACCTTACCTGATGTCAAGGGATTCCAATGGCGAAGGAATGATTTGAGAGGATGAGTGAGCAATTATATATTTTTGACCAAAGGGTAGAATGTCAAGGCCCGTTGACCTGAGCGTTTTGTTGACAAACCAACCCTGACCTACAATAATCATAAAAAGGCATGTCAGTTGATCCTAGGAAGTGAATGGTACTACTACCCTGTTCAGATCCATGCTAGAGAGTCAAGTAAGGACCCTCCTCTTTTGTTTACTCCGCTGTATGTAACTCAGTATACCTACACTCGAAGCCTTTACGTAAAATCTACTCAAAATAAAACCCAATCAAAAACGCCTTGTATTAACGCCAAACTCCTAACAAAAGAAAATCACAAAAGAAAAGTGTTACCAAAGGTAAAAGACAAGCTTACGCCCGACGGTCCGGTGCAGGTGCCGGAAGCTCACTGGAGAAGCGGCACCGGATGCGGCCGCACCCCCTCACCCCCGGCCCTCTCAACAGCACAAACAACAACGTTGTCCAAAACCGCAACAACGCGCCCCTTCCCGTACTGCAGGAACGAGGAGCCATTGCCCCAGACGCCCTCCGCCAGATCGCCAAGGTTCACCTGCGCACCCTCAAACCCAGCCCTCTCCGCACGATAAACGAGCTCATCGAACGTGAGCGGCGAAAACCCACTGCCACTGGCACAGTCGCACTCGGCGTCCTGCGGCTCGGGCGGGGTGCGCCCTGCCTTGCGCGCCGCAACGAGCTCATCGAGGTCGATTTCCTTGATGGCGACGGGGACGACGAGGACGACGCGCGGGAGGATAGGGCTCACGTATCGCACGGTGCCGTGTTCGGGGAAGACGATGCCGCCCTGGGAGGTCTCGGCGAGGCCCTGGGTGCAGGATCCGATGGCTGGGAGGGGGCCGGAGGCGTCCTGGAAGATCCAGGTTGCGCGGCCGGACGAGGCGGAGCGGGACATGGCTGGGGGAGTTGTGAGTTGGGTGGTTGGGGTGGAGACGGAGGTGGAGGTGCAGTTGGACTTGTGGGAAGACATGGTGGATAATTTGATGATGTTTGAATTGGTTGTGGATGGATGGGAGAGATTGGTGAGGTATTGAGGACGTATTTATGTCTTTAGATGGGATCGATGATTTGTTGGATATTGTGAGTGCTCGTTGTTGGTTGTTTGTCAAGGAGACGAGTGTCTTTGGCATGCGATCTAAGAAAGAAATAGTGTCTTTCATCTTTGGAAAGCAGAACAAGGTATTGATGATTTTTTTGTGAGGAGGCCTGACAGGAGTTGTAGGATTGAAGGAGGGGATTATGAGCGCTCATTGTTGTTCATTTCTTAAAGCAACAAGTGTTTTTGACGTGCAGCGTGAGCAAGAAATGTCGTCTTTTATCTTCACAATAGAGGACGATTGGATTGTTGATTCTTTCATTCGCAGACCTGGAAGACATTATCCTGGCCCTTCGATCGAACATTGAGACTTTAGCAAATAGGCACTTCCTTATAGACTGCATGGCATCTGTTCATTCTTGATTTGGGCGGCTTTGTGGACGTCCATTCCTTGTTCGAACGAGGCTATGTCCAGAAGTCCGCCAGTATCTCATTTTCCATGCGAGATGCATCCTCTCGGCATACTCTACGATGAAAATCCACGTACTGGGCTGCTCTACGGTTTATTCAACAGGAGGTCCGGAGTGACTTACGTTATAGTGATAAGGTGAATCTCTAGAAACATATTGAACATTGTTGTATTGGGATGAAGGAACTCTAAATGGATCTAAGCCAAGCCCAAGAATACACCAAGACATGCGAGTATAGATCCAACCTCAGACGTGAGTCTCAACATCGCACAAAAGACAAAGACAAAGGGAATGGGCGAAGGGGTATCTGGCGAACTAACGATTCTAGACAAGACATAAGCCATGATTCAAATGGTCGCTATTCGTAAACGCATAATTCGCCAATACTCCGTAGGTCATGCAGGTAAACAAATATCGCGCGCCTAGCCTTCACTCAACATTAGAAACACCCAGCATAGAAGAAAAGAAAAGAAAAGACCAACCTAACGAAACCTCAAGTCAGGCCTCAAAGTCGGATTCGGATCCGCGCCAACAAACCCACTGGACGGCAACGCATCAGGCTCCAGCATGGTGTTCAACTGGGCCAAAACCACGTCGCGAAAAACCTGCGTCACAATCCCAAACCCAAACTTCAGGCTCCCATCTGGCGCAAGCCAAAGCCCATGACCATGCCCATCAACCCGCACACTCGCACGCGTCTCCTCGGTTGGAACCGCACGCTCGAGCTCGGTAAGATCGGCAAAACGAAGCTGGTAGAACATGCGCGCGGCCAGACCAGAAGGGTGTCCATCGGGTCTCACGAAGATCGCGAACGGGAACTCGAGGATGGCTGCGATGGAGCCCTGCGCGGGGCGGATGAAGCCGTCGGGGCCGACGTGGATGCCGTGGCCGTGCTCGAAGAGGCCGGGGAAGGGGGAGAGGGTGCGCACTTGGTGGTAGATGCGGCGGCGGTGGGCGGCTTCGGCGGCTTGCAGGGCTTGCGCGGAGGAGGAGTAGTATTGGGTGGAGGCGCCGTTGATGTTCACGACATTGGTGCTTTGGTAGGCAATGTGGAAATTGTTGGTTATGTGGACGTTACCACCTGCAGGAGGGGCGATGTTGAGGGTCAGTGAGTTGCCGTCGCCGACGACGACGTCGCGCAGGTTGAAGGGCCAGATGGCATCCGCAAAGTGACTGGGCGTCTCGGGGCTTTCCTGGGTATAGACGGCGAGGGGCATGTAAACGGCCATCGCGAGGGAAGAAACGAAAATTTGAAGGGTCCGAAGAGTTCTGAGGAGGAAGGAACGATCGAGTCTGGAGCTGCCTTCGGAGTTTGGACTCAGTTGCGGGAGTTGATAGTTGGAAGAAGAAGGTACCTAAGATCGCTCTGCGAAGGTGTCTGGGTCGATCTCAGAACTGGGCGGCAGAAGTCCTTTGAATAAGGCAAAGCCTTCATTCACTTGAGGATTTTCCTGGTGTTGTGTTTGTCACCCTCACAGGTAAGGCCAAATGTAGGTGGATAATTTCGGCTCTGTGTGTTGTGAGGGCGGCAAAGGTCTTTTGCCACTGCAGAAAAGATTCTTGAGGATATGGGAAGAAGACAATTGGTTGTTTTGGTAGAGCTACATGGAGTTTGATATCTGCACTTTTCTGACCATGCCACTCCCGGTGACATGCAGACCCGGGTTAACACAAACATCAACAAATGGGCTAGCCAGCTTTAGAAGATACTGCAAATCAACACATCTCTCAACAGCAAGAACATCAAGTACCGTCCCGAGGTCATCTGGATCTTCATCTGGCCACTGTCTCCCGGCGACAGCTGCACCTGGAACTCTCGCCAGCACACCTCACAAGCTCATCTTCTGTGCGCCGCCAACCGTCTCGCTCTTTGCGATTGCCACCTTTTCTTGATAATCTGTGTCTGTCTAGCTTTCGCTTTCCCCAGTAGCGATCCAAGTCTCGTTGTCTTTGTTGAGGGGCGTTGACGGCGAAAAAAATCGACTTCCACTACAACCCCAAGCTGGAAGGCACATTACCACCGGTATGGATAGATAGGGCAAAGTCTAGCTGACAGGCTTACATCAGAGTTCTTCCCATTGACCATCTGCTACTAACCTCGATCGCTCGACGCAGAAAGACAATATAGGCAATCGGCATTCATGCGAAATCTCATCATCGGATCCGCCAACCACACTGCCGATCATCCTTCCTTCTCCTACCTTATCCCGGCCCTCTCCTCTTTAGAAAAAAAAGCATCAGCTCTGCAATCAATTACGAGACTTCGAGCGGCGTCGTCCTCCCACTCCGTGCCCCTCTTCCGGAATCCCGTCTCGATCTGGAGCGATCGGTCCTGGTCCGTCTGGCAGTTTTAGATCGGTCTGCTTGGGACTCTCTCGCGCTGTCGGTTGGTTTGTACCTCTTCGTGGGCGCTTTGGCTGCTGTTGCTGTTTCTTTGGGTTTGCTTGACGTTGCACGACTGGATTCTCCTGTGCTCGAGTGTCCTCCGCTCGAAAGCCCTCTGCTCAAATGTGCTCTTTTGGAACTTCTTCTCCTTGAACGTCTTCTGCTCAATCTCCCACTGCTTGACGTTGCCCCGCTCGGCCCTTTACCGCTCGACATCCCACCGTTAGACATTTCTTTGCCTAAGGTTGGCGTTACTGTGCTCAATGTTCTGGTGCTCTGTGGTCCCCTACTCATCATTCTCTTTCTATACCTCCTTGTCCGAGTACCGGCTGATCGTATCTTCTCTTTCACAGACTTCGCAAGGCCCTTTCTACCAAAGCAAGCAAGGCAGTTAGAAGCGCAATCACTCAGCTTGCAGGGCAGGAATACAGCACTTACAACATCTCGAAAATACCCATTTTGCCACAAGTTTCGACCGGTATGGGATCTCCTCAGCACACCATTCACGATAGAAACACGCCAAAGCTTCGACCGAAAGAAGGGCTTTTCGCTGTCGCTATGTCAAGGGGACTTGGTTCTTGAATATGGTTTTGGTGTTAGAAGCTTCTCTTGCGTGCGCTGGTAGGGCGGGAAAGAACGTTGAAAATTCCGTGCCGTACTGGTAGAATAAATGGCTGGATGGATGGCTGGATAGTAGAAAGGGAGCTTTACTGATAATATCTAGCATTGAGGGACATTCCATCCTCTTCCAGCCTGCTCCACCCTTGTTTGACGTCTTCTTGTATCCTTTCATCGCGGCGCTGGTTAGGTTCGTGTTTGCAAGCTGTCAAGCGGAATAAATCAGTAGTTCTTCTTCACCTTATTATCCGCAGGTATTCTTCCTCTACCCAGCTACCCAACATGTCACTGTTAAGCCCCAGCTAAACAAATTACATGTTTCATTTAACGCCGCATTAAGTTCTCCTGTCTTGCTCTACGCCTGCGTAATACTTGAGTCACAGAGTGATTTCTCCTTTCATCCCAGCAGCCGTTGGCTATCCATGCACCTCCCATCGCAGCACGAACTATGCTACCACGGCAGATATCGCGCAAGTAGAATCATTATTCTGGGAGTTAGTTGAATCCTGAGCGTGTTTGTTCTGAGTCCTGACGGCGCATTATCCAGTCGGGTGCAGCGCACGCAGCCCTAAAAGCTGCGATTTCGGCCAATCGGATCGCAGCTTCGGAAGGGTCCGAGTGGAAGCTCCATGCAGCGACCACTCCATCGCTCCGAGTAACACAGACGCAGACAATTCTATAGAAACAGTTAGACAAGAGCTCTACCAGTGCCTTTTAAGTGTATATTCTTTTTTATTCATGGGTCCTAAATCATAAAGTTATTATCTGTCGCTGCTGAGGTCTCATGAGCTGAGGTAGCGGTACTTCAAACTCCCGCAACCACTCCCAACAATTCCTTGGATGCTGGGAAACAATGTGAGTTGGATAAAGGTTCGACCCTTTAAGAGATGTTTGTGAATATATGAATACTTGAGATACAGGGCTCCCGAGCGCCGGTTTGCAACCACACCTTTGTCAGTCAAGGTTGGTCTTGAAAATAAACTAGATTGCGGTGGACTAAGGAGTAAGAACCTGCTTAGAAAGCTTTAGTAGTCCTGCCTATTTGCAGACGAAGAAAAGCTCCTTTTCAAAAGCATGGTAGGACGAGATCCTGGACGCGGCTTACTCAGTAATGGTACCCTAGGACTCGAAAACCATTACAAAGCTAGGGGGTGCGATTTTTGTGCTGTACTATGGAAGGTGATAGAAGGAAGACCATGGATTGTAGTTGAGAACATTGCTAACGTAAAGAAGTGGTCGATCATGTAGGTAATGAGATAAGAGCTGAGATTGCCTGAAGAATTCATGCAAACTCCTTTAGGACAGTGCCCAATGCCACATGCAGATACAAAGGGGTTTGACAGCAAGATACCAATCATCCTGTACATTCAGAGTCAAATGCTTGAGGTGACCCTGCACCAAGGTAAAGTGCGGAAGACAAAGAAAAACAAAGGAAAGAAGACAGCGAAAGTCGCAAGACAAGCATGCAACAATATTTGATGAACCCTAACAATCCATCAAAGCCCAAAGCAACGGATTACCAGGGCGCCCAGAACGAAGCCGAGCCGGAACAACCGGATCATAATCCTTGATCTTCTCAACCGGGCCAACGAAGATCATCTGGCTGAGCTCTTCGAGATGGAACTCGATGTGCCAGGCCATTCCCACACAAGGAGGTGCCAATTTCAAGTCCTCAACGCCCAGATCACAGAACGGACAGGTATTCTTCGCCAGAAAGGCTGCTGGGGATCTCTGCTCGCCCTCCGCGTCCCGGTGAGGGTCCTCCTGCTTGCTTCCGTGTCGGCTCACGATGTGGTTCAACCACCCCTGGCGGCTGGACCAACGGCGCAGCGGCGTGTCGCAGTCGGCGAATATGCACACGTACGGCTGGATGTCAGTGTACAGGTGCTCGTTCCAGGCGAACCTGTCGCGGACGGTCACGGTCGTCAGGCAGTAGGGGCAGTCGAACGTGATGGGGCCGTTCGGGGGGAGGTCCTTGGCTCGGGTGGGACGTGGAAGGCAGCCGGCGGGTGTTGGGCGGGTTGCGGGGCGGACGCCGTCCCGAGCGCGCTCGTGGCGGAGGGTCAGGGTGATGCGGCGCTCGGAGATATTGGCTGCGACGCGCTGGACGAGTTCGAGTGTGGCGTGCGGTAGCTTCGTTATCAGACGGTGTTTGTCCAGGGCGGCGAGGTACTTGGTGAGTGCCTCGTCGCGGGGGGACTTTGTGATGCCTTCGGTGAAGGTGAAGAGTTCCTCGAGCAGGGTGATGAGGGTGGAGATGTGCCCGCGGACGAGGAGGCAGTAGTCTTCGGCCAGGACTGTACCTGGTCGTGATGGGGCGGGGATGCCATGGGCTCCGGTGTTTGCTAGGCTGATTGGGGTGGAAATACCCACGATGGAGATGGTGCTGTTAACGAAGTAGTCCATCAATTTCATAGTTCTGAAAATTGGCTGCGTCTTATGGGACGGCGAGGACATGCGGAGGAGGTTGTTCAGGAGGCCCTGGAGGCGTTCGTCTGAGGGGATGCTGCGAACCCAGGCTTCGAAGCGGGAGTGTTCGACCTTCCACAGGGAGACGACTGACTCCTCGAAGTAAGCGGGGAGCTTTGAGACGAGGGCATTGAACTTGGTTTGGCAGGTCTCTGCTTGCTCGCGAAGAAGCTCGGCGGTGATGTTGTTTGGGGATTCCTCAGCCAAATGGGCCAGTGCCGTCTGGCCGATCCACAGGGACTCCTGGGCCATGATTACGGATAGCTTGGTAGATGGGACGAATGCAATGGAGAGAGACGTGGTTGTTTGAATGAATGAAGAGAGGGTTCAGAGAAGTGTTAGTGGTGGGAATGGTAGAAATAGGCAGAGGTCCCAAAGGGGTTAGCGTGCTGTGCAGCCCTGGAGTCCTGGAGTTGTTGACGGCATTCACAATTCACTGGACTCTGGACTCCTGCTAGTATCAAGATTCACTGCCTTCTATCATTCACTCTCTTCTCCTCTTCTTCTCTTCTTCGTACTCAGTATATAGCCATGTCTCCCCCTCGTGAGGCGAAACTTGAATTGCTCACAACCTCCCATCCATTCCCCTGACCAGTTCACCAACCAACAAACCATAATTATCCCATCACTACCACCAACTATTCATTATCCAGCAGCTCAACCAGCAGTATGGAGTCCACAAACGATCCCCGCCTCGCCAAGAACCACAAACAGACAGGAATCTTCGTGGACGAGCTCGAAGGGCTTTTCGCCGACATCCACCAGGTAAAGGAAACCATCTTCGACGCGGAAGAAGGTCCGAATGGCGTCCCTAGCGAAGTCAAAGCGGCCTGGAGAGCCGGGTTTCAAGACATCGAGGACATCAACATCGCCGCTGCACGAGCACGAAACGACTCGCTCAGGCCACTCTATAAGCGGGTCGTGGTCCAGGCACTGAGAAGTATGGCTGCTGCAGTTGAGGAGGCCGTGGCCAAGGACAAGCAGCTCTCAAGCGTCATGCAGAAAGTTTGCAACGACCTCGAGCGTATTCAATCCGATGTTATCACTCGAGACGCCGAGCTTACGCGCCTCAGGGAAGAGAAGCGAAAGATCGAGGCTGCTTTGACAACTGAACGCCTGACCAATCCAGCTGAGACGCATTGCTTTGATACCAAAGTATGTCGGCACAATGTGGGATCGATCGCAGAGGGCGTCTTCATCGACAAGGGAAGAGTCTTCATGTGCGGTGGTGAGGTTGGTCAAATCCGAGAGACGGTGCACATCCCCCGCTTCTACATCGTCGAGCCGTCGAGTAGATCTAGACCCGCGGTCTGGCTGGACTTCAAGAGAGCGCAGCGAAACTTCGATCCTCATTCGCCCACTAACAAGCCCGGAGATATGGTCTGGGGATTTTCTGAGATGATAAACGACCAGGCCTTTTATGGATATGGTCTGCTTGGACGAGTCGAGGAGAACATGAATATCCATTGGATCGTGCAGATCAGCGAAGCCAAAAAGAAGAGTTTGGGTTATGACATCAAGGATGAGGAGGCGGATGATTCCCTAACAAACGAACACATCGAGGACCCGGAAGAGGAAGTCAGTGCCTCAATTAGTTCGGAGCCAGACTGGGACTCTGACTGGGAATGAGGATCTCCTTGCTTTTGCTGCTGAAATCGGTCCATTTGTATTTCATTTGGCGGTAACATGTCTGTCGCGAGGAGCTTTCCCATAGCAGGACGATTCATGTCATATCGGGATATCAAGTCGAGATGAGAGAGGTGCTGGTGTCTGGTGAGCTGTGACAAAGTCAGATTGCTCCTGATGTACTTAACGCAGTACAATCAAAGTTCATTATCTCTTCCATTGCCCCATCAACTGTAGTGTTTGCGTAGATTATAAACCCTACTGGTCGAATACCGAGTGCCATTGAGCTGCTTCCAAAAAGCTCGCTTATAGAGGCAGGAGGCAAGATACGCGCGCGTAGCCCAGTAGTCTCAATACTCAAGAGTTGCTGTCATAGGGGCAGTCGCGTGAATTCGAGGTCTGGGGAAGGCGCGAATGGACATCGATTGATTTTCGTGGGCGGCTGTCTTGAGGCTTAATCCACAATGCATCCAACTCCACGCAAGATGTAAATAGGCTCACTGGACATCATTACTCAATGCTTACAAAGCTTTTGAGACCATGGTTCAGCCTTCTCTTCTTTACCTACCGAGGTCGGCTCTCTAGGTCCCGCGCACTTGACCGGAACCACCTCGGCTGCACAATCCTCGACGGGCAGCTACAAGCTTCATGGATCCATAATGCTCTCGGTACGGAGTCACTATCATGGGACTACGGAATCAAGAGATTTGCTCCTGCGCCAAGCTGTCACCCTAAAAGAATCGCTTTCTCCATCCTACCCCCGACCACAGGACCAGTAAGTCATCGAATACCATAATCAGTCTTCTCACTACATTCACGTTCTTCTCTATCCCGAAATATTGATAACTACTCTGATCTCTTAGACTTTCCGATGACTAGATAGTTTCGCCCACCTTAGACTACCTCGAACCCCGGATCCGCCACGCACACTTGAGGTTGCAATCCCACCAGCAAACGAAGTCAAGATCTCAAGGAGAGCGATTCAGAGGAAAGCAGCCAAAGCCAGTAAGCTAACAGCTCAGAATCAGGGTCGGGATGAACGATTGAACCTCGACTGGTGTTTGGCTTTAGGAACGTGGCGTTTCGACATTTATAGAACCATGGATGGAAGCCTTGTCACAAAGGGAGCCAAGTTCGAACGGAAAGGGCAGCCCTCTGCAGTCGACATTTCTTTCATCATGATTCAGGGTCGACCAATTGAATGGAGCACCTTACTCGAGCTAAAGGAACCAAGACATCGTCAAAGAGCGCCGCGCTTCGCCCTGGGCGAGGGAAGTGGCTGCATGTGCTCTCCCAAGGTCTCCAGGAACACCACGATTATTTTTGGAGACGCCGGCATGTGTTATCAGAGGATAAAGAATCCAAAATGAACATATCTTCCTTCATAACCCCCGAACACATCTCAAGCCCTCTTCCCACCCCTCTCTCGCAGCTAACCATTCTCAAGCCTGCTCCCTTTGCCTCCCGCGCGCAAAACACCAACCTACCACCCCTAACAATCCAAACCCTCCATCAAAATGGCCTACTACGACATCCTCGCCGCGCAAAAAGCCAAAGCCCCGCCCATCGGCACCGAGGACGCCTCCGGCGTGACCCCAACGGACGACGGCTCCCTGATCGTAACGATCGGCGAAGTGCAGGGCTACATCTCGTTCCCGCGCATCGTCTTCGTCTCGCCCGATTCGCGCAACCCCATCCAGACGTTCCGCACAATCACGCTCAAGGACTTCAAGACCTACGCTGAGAACATCGACGCGTACCACTTTGCGCCTCGGGGGGGACAGCAGGAGGTCTTTGGATTTCATGTTATGCAGGAGAGACCGGGGGATGAGTCGAGGTTGCTTTATGGGCAGGGGACTGTTACGGGTGTTGTGGAGGGGGTGAAGATTGCGCTTGTTGAGTAGGGTTGTAGGATGGGGTATTGGGATGATGAAGGAGGGGGCTTGGAGTTTTTGGAGCTCGAGTTTTATCTTTGGTTTTGCCATTGGGCTTTGAGGCAGGTAGAGGTGTTCGGTGGTAATTGTGAGCCTTGGCTTTGGTCTGAGGGGCGTCGAGGACCGTCTTTGTTGGATTCCTTTGATAATTTATTATGTCTGCTATATGGAGAGACGAACATCCATCCATTGGATGTTCCAGGGATGAGTGAATCGCGCATTCTCCCTCGTTTGCAGAAAAACGGCCTTTCGGACAATCGATCTGATTTCGCGAGTCAATACCTAATTAATAGAAATCATGTGTCGTTATCGCTGACGATGGGAATAATGAAGACGTCCGACCAGGCGTAAGGTCTCAACGAGGGCCTAATCGATTGGAAGCCGGCGTACGACGACAGCAATGAATCTAACAGAGAACCTGATCTGCCTGTCCATTGCTAGTCGAACGACAAAGCTATCTTTTGCTATCCCTTAGCAAAGCCTCCCGAAGGCTTTGGAGTGAACTTGAATCTGAATTTGCAACATTAAGCAAATTTTATTTGAACACTCATTCTGGCGTACCATGGAGCGGCATCTTTTCTTTGTCTCTGGACCATGGCGGGAAGAAGTGTTATGGAAGTCGGTAACAAGACTATGTCGACTACCAGTAGGCTCGTAATGGATTGAGCTGGAGGGTGGGTGATCTTCAGTATCACAATCAACAGACTAAATACATTTGTCTCAAAGTAGGGATATTTGATGTATAAACCACGTTGCAATCCAAACCGTAGAACGAAGAATGAGGTTTTTATTGCCGTAAATGGACATTTAGACACAGTGCTGGTGCTTGACCTGACAAGTACTCCGATTATTAATATCTCGCTTGCAAGACATACCACAGGTCACTCAAACCATGCACGTACTTCGCAAAATAGACGCGACTGAAGCCCCATCAGCCATCGACATCGTCTACCAATCCGCATTCCACAACGGCGTAATCGACCAAGCCACAGCCTCCGTCTCAAACCCAACACACGTTCCATCGTTACTCTCAGTAAAGATCCCCACAACCTCACTCGTGCACTCCAGGTCCGAGTAAAGTTTAACCTCATACCCCTGGTTACTGGCCGTTTCACCAGAGAGATACGAGACCGAGACGCCGAGGTTGATGTACGAGCAGTCGGTCGGGCTGTTCAGGGAGACAGTGGCGGCCTTTGAGTCGCAGGTTGAGTCGAGGGTGGAGAGGGCGAGGGTGGCTGAGAAGTCGGTTGGAACGGGGGTGGAGGAGTTGGACGGGATAGTCGTGATTGCGCCGGTTTGGTTGGAGAGGAGGTGGCCGGAGTAGTTTGCGATGTGTTCCTCTGTGGGTTGTTAGTTGAGCTGGTGGAAATGATACCATACCGTATGGGTAGAGGTAAAGCGTACCGAGATCAATGGACGCGTCTTGTCCGCGGCCAGAGGAGTTCTGGCAGGTGCAGGAGAAGGTTGAGCCCGAGAGGGTGCAGTCCGAGCATGATTGGTAGTATTTGCCGCTGTAAACATATGTTAGGGCGTTGGTGATTTTCTGTCGTCAAGAGTGTACTTACTCCTCGGTCCACTACGAAGATGTTAGTTAATAAATTGTCATGGAATATCCGTGATAAACTGACTCACCTCAAGATTGCCATTCGAGTTAGCCAGCTTGTAGGGCAGGAAGACACTGCTCGTGATATCGTCGCCGGCGTCGTCAGGGCAGGTACCGATCAGCCAGTTGCTGGTGACGGAAACATCAGTGCACTCGGAGGTGAAGCCCGCGGCGACGGCAGCCGCAGCACCTGTAAGAGCGAGAGCAATTGAAGAGCGAACCATTTTGGTGAGCTTTGTTGATGGTGAGCTGAGGTGTCTGTTGGTAGGAGGTCAATTGCTCCTTTTATAGCACAGGACAGACTGAGTCGATACCACATTCAAGATTGCAACTGTCCGAACTCCGAAAAGCTAATGCAAGAGCTGAAAAGATAATGACTCGGAATGCAGGAACCAACAATGAACTGTATTGATGATTCGTTGACGCAAAACGGCCCCCTACGCTATCCGGGTCCGCGACGGAGCTGCCCCATACCGGAATTCTTCAGCCAGGCCAGGCGCAGGCTCCGAGCTTGCTTATAGGTTCAAGCCATATGAAGCAAGCATTTCACCTACAAGTCTGGATTCCTGCACGTATTCCGATCCCTTGCATCGTGGAGCTTTATTTGTATCCATGCCGGTTCCGGGGGGTCCCAACCAACAGCAATTTAACGGGGATCGAACGGGTTATTGTTAGCCTAATATTAGTAAAAAATTAAACATATTTTATAATTAAATTAAAGTAATATTAAAATAGCTATATAATATTTAATATTAACTAATATTAAAACGCAAGGTAATATTAGTTAATTATAATATTTAGTATAGCTAAATAATATTAATAAAAAATAATATTAAGCTAGTAAGTAATATTAGCTAGGCATAGTGTTAACTTAGCTAGGTAGTATTATTTAAATAAATTATTAAACTATATAATTAATATTATTTAAATAGGATGCTAAATAAAAATAGTTAATATTAACTAAATAAAATATTATAGGCGGTATATAATATTAGCTAAAGTAAATATTAAAAGTAGCAGGCAGTATTCCAAGCCTATAATTAATATTAAAATAATTAGGCAATATTAGCTTAATAAAATATTAAATTTTTATTTAACTATTAAAAGTGGCCTTTAAGCATTAGCCAGCCATTAGATTTTAGCTTACCTGTTAAATTTTTACTTAGCTATTAAAGGTGGCCTTTAAGCGTTAGCCAGCTATTAAATTCTGGCTTACCTGTTAAATTTTAGCTTACCTATTAAATTTTTACTTAGTTATTAAAAGTGGCCTTTGAGTGTTAGCCGGCCGTTAGATTTTAGCTTACTTATTAAATTTTAGCTTACCTATTAAATTTTTACTTAACTATTAAAAGTGGCCTCCAAGCGTTAGCCAGCTATTAAATTTTAGCTTACTTATTAAATTTTAATTTAGCTATTAAAAGTGGCCTCCAAGTATTAGCCAGCTATTAAAAAAAATATTTTTAGTATTAGCTTTATAAATGCCCGGGCTGGCACTATTACCCTATATATTAATAATTATTACTTATTTAGGTGTATTAATAATGGCACAGGCTTTATAAAGCTACTAATATTATAATTATAATATTTATATACTATATTTATTTAACTAATTACAGGCCTTTTATATAAAAATAGTGCCTAATTTTTATCCGCGCTAAAAATAGTAATATAAAATATAATAAACTTACTTAAATTAATTTATAAAAACTTATAAGTAGCGGTAGCTTTGCTAGTTAATTAATATAAAAGCTTTATTTTAAGTTATTTTTTATTTTAAGTATTTAAGTAACTAGGTACCTAGGTAGTAAATTAACCTAATAAAATAAAAAATAGTTTAACCTTGCAGGTAAAAGCTAAAGGTAGCAGGGATTTATATATAAGTATATTTACTATAAATAAGGTTTACTATAAAAAAAAAATGCAACTTTTAATAATAAATAATACTTTAATTTAATTTATAATTAAGTTATTAACTAAAAGCTTTTATATTTATAAATAATATATAAATTATAATAATAATAAGGTAATAAGGGCGCCCCGCCCGTGGGCGTAAATATAGACTTACCTATTTAACTAATATATTATAAATAGCTTTAGAGGTTATATAGGCTACGTGTATATTTATAACCTATTAATATTAGTAGCTTAGGTTATAAAAGTTACTAAAATTAATTATTTAAACTCCAGGTGGTATTTTTAAATAGGCCCCTAATATAAATAGCTAGTATAAACACAGGCAGGGAACTTAAGTTATACTTTAGGATTTTTATTAAAAATACTAATAATATTACCTGCTTTAAGGGATTATTAGCTTTAATTTTAATATTTTTTATATATTTATATTATTAGCCCTAGTATATTATTAATCCCCGGAATATTACTAGGGTTATTAGCTATTAAATTAAAGTTTTAAATAATACTAGGATTTAAGCCTAGCTATAATAAATTAATAAATATTTTATATAGCCTAGGTATTTAGTATATAATTAATAATAATTCTAGCTATAGCATGTATAAATCTAGTAATTTATTAAATAATATTAGTATTAATTTTAACCATAAAAAAAAAGTAGTGTTTCTTGGCAGCTAAGGTGCTAATTTAAGGTTAATACTATTTTTAATTATTAAGGCTTTTATTAACCACTTTTATATATAGCTTATATATTAGTTAAATATTAGCTAAATATTAACTAAACATATAATAGTAATTTATTATAAACATATAATAATTATATTTTAAAATTATATTAATAAAAAACTATTAACAGGGAACTAGTATAACTTTATAATTTTTAGTTAAAGTTTATAATTTTTAGCTAAATACTAATTCCTGTGGCAAAAGTCTAGTTATTTAAAGTAAATTAAAGGGGTGTAAATATACCTAAATAATAAAAAAAAAGATATAATTTAGAATTTATTAAAGTTAAGCCTATAAAAGTTAAAAATTAAATTATAAAAGTATAGTTTTTAGCTAGATATTTCCTAAAATTAGGTATTTATAAATAACGCGTGTTATAAATAAGTTATTATGTTAAAAAGCTAAAAAATAATAAATATACTAATTAGCTTAATATTTTTTAAAAAAAWTTTATGTTTATAAAAAATTAAGCAAATGTAACTATAGCAAAATTCTAAACTTAATAATAAATAAAGTTTAAAGTAATAGATTATTTTATAAATCTATATTTAGTTAGTAAATGTCCCTAATTTTAATTTATAAAAAATAAATAAACTATTTTAATAACATCTTATAACTATAAAATATAATAGTAATATTTATATAGTATAGAACTATATAGTCTAGCCTTATTAATATATAGCTATTATTTAATAGTATAAAAAAGCATAAATAGCTTAGTAAAGGGGCTAGTTATAGCAGGGTAAGGTAGTATTATAAAATAATTAGTTAAAGAGCTAGCAAGTTAATTATTATTAAAATATATAAATAGCAAGTACTATTAGTAGTTACTAGTAAATAAAAAAAAAGGTTAAGCTTACCATGCTTTTATATGCTATTATTTTTATTATAACTTTTTATAAACCTAGTATTTAAGGAGCAAGCTTGTTAAGGCTTTTTAAACTTTGCTAATCTTGTTTATTTTTACTACTATGTTTATGCCGCCTATTACTAAAAATAGGTACCTAAATATAGTTTTATTATACTTTAATATATTTATAGTTTTAATAAAAAGCCAGAAAGCTAAATAAGTATTTAGCTAAGTTATATTACTTTTAGCTTTAAAAAAAAGGTATATATACTAATTTATTAGGCTAAAATTAAATAGCAAAGTTTTTATATAAGGGCATATTAAAAAAAAAACCTAGTAAAAAATACTTTTTAAATACCATAATAATTAATATAATTTATAAAAAAGAATATTAAAAAAACTAAAAAAAATACTAAATTTTTTAATATATAATATACCTGTATAAGTTTTTAGCTTTTAATATAATAGCTAAAAAGTAAAAAAAAGAAAAAAAAGCTAAAAAAAAACTTTTTTTATATATTAAAAATTAAATATATTAAGCTATTAAAAAATATTAATATTATTATAGTGTTTAAAAAATAAAAAAAAATAAGTTAGTATTATAGGATAAAAAAAAAGATAAACCATGCCTGCTTTAATAAAATTTTTAAAAAATAAACTAGGATACGTGAGAATAATAAAAAAACTTGCTTAATATAATTATTTAAAAAAACTATTTTTAAAAATGCTATTATTTATATAACAGCTACTATATAAACTATAACACCTTTAAAAATATTTTAAAAGATAAAGGGGGTACCCTTATAAACCTTAAAAAATAATATTTTTTAAAAAGTTTTAAAAATTTAAAAATTACTAAGTTAAGCCGGGTTAGATAGTAGTTATATATTTATAATTTAATTTATACCTTATTTTTTAAAAGCCCTAAACTAGCCTAGATAAAGGTTAGATAGTTTACTAAAGTATAACTAAAGGTAACCTATTATAATTTATAATAAGTTATTATTTTACCTCCTACTTAAGCTATTTATAAAAAAAAATCTATATTTAAAAAATAAAAACCTTAAAATAGTAATAGCTAATAACCTACTTAAAAAAAATCTATATTTTATATATAATAAAAAACTAGGTTAATAAGGCTGTTAATATTTAGTTTAAAACCTAAAGGTATTTTTAATATTAGTATTATAAAGTGCCTTTTAGCCTTAATATTTAAAAGCCTAATAATTTATTTATTTATAATATTCTTTATAAAAATTAAAAGGTATAAAATAGTATTATTACTTATTTTATTATTAACTATTAAGCTTATAAAAAAAAAGACCTGTTATTAACTATTTATTAATTAATAAAAAAAAATTCTTTTAATATATACAAAGCTATTGCAAGACTAAATAAAATTATTTTTATAAAAAATAACATATTTTTTTAACCCTTTTAAAGCTAGTTAGCTTATTAAATAATTTAAAAATAATAGCATAAGTTAGAACCTAAGCTTGCTAATTAAGTAGTAATATATAAAAAAAATAAAGGTAAATAAATTAAGGTTAAGTAGGTAAAAGCCAGGATTTAAATAAAAAAAAAGTTAAAAAGTTATAAATATACCTAGTATTAAAGCTAATTTTAGTATACTATTAAATTAGCTTTTATTTAAGCTTAGTTATATATAGCTATAAATAATTTATTAAATAGGTATCTTGTATACCAGCCTGGAACTAATAAGTAATTTTTAATTA